TAATTCATCATCCATGTCATATATTGGTGGAATTACACTCTTAACAAATGTAGCCTAAAATTCATATGCAAATTCACTTTGATTCTGCATTGATGATATACTTGCTTATATGAATATATGATTTCAGAATTAGATTCAATCATGTTGAATTGGATTTTTGGATCCATTCACACCGCTAATATTGGGGGTTAAGCGAAAGTGATGAATGGGAGAGTGGAGTCTGGATATGTTCACATTCCACCATGATATTTGTTTCAGTCTCATGATAAGATGTTCGGACATAGATCATGCTTGTGTGTGCACATTTGTGGAGACTGAATCTGTTGCTCACACCGACTCATCATGCATAGAGAATATCTCTCATACTTATATTATTATTTAGGGAAGATAGTCTTAATACATGGTGGGATGTGCGTATGAAATTGTTGTGAACCGCCCTCTGTGAGGAGCAGATCTCAATTCATAGTTGAGGGAGGTCTCTCCTAATGTTGATAAGGAAGAAAATGATGATACGTTTGGAAGATACGTGTTTATTTCTCATTGAAAAGGACAGCGGACAGTAGATCGGGACTCTTGTAAAACCCCTGTCCTATTATTTGACTAAGGATAGACACGTTTCTCTCTGGGCTTCTAGCCGCCTCAAAGGTCTTCTATCATGGCAAAGTCTCCCACCTCCGTACTCTCCTCCTGAGAAGCAGTAAAAAGAAATTTTGCAATGCAAAATTACGAATTAAAATTGAAACGCTTGGTCATGAATCATGATGAATGTAAAGTAAGCCTATGTCTACCAGTTTGCATGGTAAAGTTGAGAAACCTCTCTCTCTTTCTCTCTTTCTCTTTTTACTTTCACCTGGCATATGTATTATCTATGGAGCAAAATATCAAAGAATTGCATAGACTCGTTCCATATTGGCATTAATTGTTGGAGCAAAATCCACTGATTTATTTGCACTTTGACTTGGGATGTAGTTGGATTGTTTGTAAATTGTGGGAGACAAAAAGAAACACAAAATGAATAAAGAAGAGAAGCATCGACTTTGAAAGTCTTCACCCCGATTGTGGTTTATGATGGCATTATATCCGTCCCGTCACTCTCCTTTTTGACCTTTACCAGTCCCGGATCCCCTTTTTCCCTCCTTCCACAAGCCACAGCGACAGTCCAAGATTCTCACTGTCTCTCAACTCTCAACCACTACTCTACAATAACTATAATTATAATTCCCATCTAATTATGACCGTCAACTGGTTACATGGATTTCTGGACCTTCCACTAGGTTCTACTTAAAGTTCGATTTTAAGTTGTTTGACTAATCCAATGAATCTGATTAGAATTGGTCACCTCAGATGAATTTTAGCTAGTTTGGATTGTACGTATGGAGTTGATTGGTTTAAAAGATTTAAATTTAAAAATTGTAATAGTATTATAGAAAAATAAAATTAAAAAATTTTAAATTTATACTATAAAATATTTTAAATTAAGAAATATAAAAGTTTTTCATTTTTTCATATAAAAATTTTAAATTTTAAATATAAAATATTACTATATATCTATGGTTGGATCAGGTCCATTTTAATTGATTGGCTAAATTAAAACTGACTTGCATAATGTTTGAACTGAAATGGACCAAAATACTAGAAAATCGACTAACTCAAGTCAAATTAAGTTGGGTTGGTTGATTTTTTAGAGTCGTTTGACAAGTTTGTTTTGAAATATCTTCTAGAAGTTCTAACAATCAAAAGATGATGTGAGATTTTGCATCAAGATCTTAACAGTTTGAAGTCCTTTGTTTAAGTCATGTATTTCCACATGAAAACAAGTTGAAAAAAAAAGCAAAAAACTCTATTTAGAACCTCTTGAAAATAGCTAAAATCAAGATTCCTACATCTTTTCAAGGCTACAAGTTTCATTAGCTAAATATTTTCCAACCAAATGGAGAAAGACTAAAATGTAGACTATTGAATTTCTAAAAAACCGACAACCCACATGAAAAGACACACCAAACGGGGCTTAATAGTCTTACCTTCCACTTGGGTTTCTCCACATAAACAAAAGGAGAAATCATTGGTTACATGTAGCTCAAGAGAGGACTTGGAATGACAACATGGTAGGTTCGGGTTGGGGACCATATTCCCTATCCCCACCCTCGATTCTAAAATTTACCCCATTTCCATCCCCGATTCCCACTGGGGATAAATTTTGTCCTCCATTCCTGATCCCTGACGGGGATGGGTCCCTCGTGAGGACCCGACTCCCTGAAATTATTTTAGATAATAATTTTTTTTTTAAATAAATAAAAATTTTAAACTTCAAGACAGGACAAATACCTCAGTCCCCATCCCTGACCCTAACCCCAATCGAAAATTCCTATTAAACCCCATCCCCGTTCCTGTTCCGTCACAACAATTCCTTCCCTCACCCATTGGATCGGAAAAACGGGTCTCCATCGGAATGGGAAAAATTGGAAATGGGATTCAGTCAGTGCAAGACCCGTTCGAACAACCCTCTTGAAGTACGGAGATGTTCCCGATGCAAGGCTGTTCGGGCCTTGCAGTGACTGAGGCCGATCTCGAAAAATTGCCATCCCTAAGAGGACATTACCGTAAATTCGTCAGTCAACCAGACATTCAGTACACAGTGGACACTTGTACGTCGTACCATCATCAGGCGTCATCGTTTACCCTTGGTTGAAGTTGAAGGTGTTGAACCATTTTGACTTTTGACCGTGCACTATTTTAATGGTGCGTTCACACTCACATTGCCACGTCACGTCCTTGGCGTTTTGTAAATTGTAATCCTTCAATTGACTTCCCACCCTCCCATGCCGCGTAGGCGCGTGTACGCGTTAGAGCAGCATATCCACCTCTCTCTTTATCCAATGAATCTGACGACAACATAATAGAATGGGATCAAGCGCGAGAAGTGAGAGTGCACCACTTGATTTGGATTTTTGGTGGGGTCCACTTAATAGGTACTCCTGCGATTGACTTCAAAGGATTTTTACGCTTCTATTTTGAAATCCTTGTACCACATTTTCAGTCTCACCCGCCCCGCGTAATGGGATAAGGCGAATTACCTCAATTCCGTGTCTCTACTATAAAATTTTGAGTGGTCACTTTCAATGGAGACTGTATAATGGCTTTTACGTCAATATATTGATCCCAACCATCCATCCAAGTGATCCAAGATTTTAAATGATCGTGGCCATTGATGAGACATACCAAACAAGTGCATCAATGATTCACCAATGTGGTCACAATAAGGGGTGCCGAACACTGTAAATGATGAGTACAAAGAAAAAACATTGTAAATGGTTATAAAACCAAAAAAAAAAAAAAAAAACTATCGTCTTGTTAATAAAAACAATACATTTATTTGCTGGTGACAGTTATTTTAGAATTATCAACGGGTTGGGCCTAAGTCCAGACAGGGTGGTCCCAATTCCGAATAGATTATAAATCAGAATAAAATCACACATACCCAAAATCATCTCAGTTAATAATCGGGTCTATCAGATTTAGGTTAACAGACCTATAACCATCCATCCCAATTAATATGTCCAATGACTTATTATATTTATTTTAAAATTTAAAATTTGATAATATAATTTTAATAAAAATGATAATAAACATATTAAATTATTTATATATGAATAAAATTAAATATTTTAAATTAATATTATTTATCAAATTTATCATTTCAAACATAAAATATGAAAAAACGACTCAGGGCAGGGCAGAACCAACCCATTGACGGCCTAGTTGTTTTCATTTTTAGAAAACAAAACCATCCATCGTACACCCTTCTAATTGAATTAATGGCCATTCTAGTGTTGTGCTAGAATTTTCACATTGGTAAAACATATGAACTTTTCCATTAATCAATATTAAGCATCACTACTAAATGTTTCAAAATATTGATATATGTATTGGTCATACATGCATGAAACATGAGGTATTATTATTATTATGTGATAAAAAAAGGTTCTATACCCTCTTTAAATAAATTAAAAGGTGAAATTAAAAAGTGGTGAAAGTATTCAGGCTTTACCACTCACAATACATAAAAATTAGGGATTTTTACCATTCAGTCCACCTCTGAAATCCTAGCTCTACCGTACAGTTGGGGGGTAAGTACCAGTTCGGAATTAATGCCAATTCATAGACGGATATGAGTATTATAGGTGAAACTATTCATAAATTTAAATTGTTGTAGATTTATTGTTCAAATCTGAATTCTGAGGTGGAGTGCAAGCTAAAAATCCCAAAAAAATAATGAATAGTATGCTGATACTTTAAACCATACATCCTACTATCTTTACTTCTCTCTCGGTGGTTACTTCCACAATTCCACCAATAACTTGCTCATTACTCCCATTCCATCAATTCATTATTCATTGCCTTCACCATGCCATCATCAAAATGACCTTTTTTTCTAATTAAGATCAATCAACCAGTTGGAATCGATTCCAGCACCTATATATATTTCAACCCCCACTACCTCTTTACATTTAGTTCTACCTCATTCACCATTTTCTCTATTACAACCAAACCACTCATTTCTATATTCTTAACTTACTATTTCAATATTTGATTTACTTATCTTTCCCATCTCAACTACTAAAATAGTCCAAAAAAAATCATATCATCTATTTACTTTTTTTTTTTTTACTTCAGGGTCCAAAATTAATTTAAGCCATCTGAAACAAAATGATGTATCAAGATTTGATCAGCACTTGTAGAATTTTTTGGTCGCTTACTTATATGAAAGTAAGAGGGATTGATAAAAAGATAACAAAGAAAAAAGGGGTTAAATTGCCGACTACCATAAATTATAAGGGGCAGTTGGAATTTACTTAAACTATTAAGCAAATAACGAGTAAAATTTAGCTGTTTAATCGATTGTGAAAATCAATAATAAGGTTTCACGCCAGTAATAAAATACATCGAACCCGCACCTTTAACAATTTGTCAATAAAGTTATGAATTTTTTACTGACGTGGCATCTCATTATTGGTTCCACAGCCCCCTGAACAACGAAAGCGTTCAGCTCATCCGAATTCGCAAATAACGTCCTCCAGTTCGTTTTCCTTCGTAGTTGCAGACTGCATACACTACTACATAAGAGAGTTCTCCTTCCAAGAAATCGGACAAAATACACCACCGCTCGCTGGATAGCTTCTGAGATGCTTGATCGCCGTCCATGGCGGTGACCGATTTCTTTGCAGGGGAAATCGCTACAGAGCTAATAAAACAACTCATAGCAATATGCAAGCGGTCTACTCTTTGCAAAACCAATGCAGAGCAGCTGATGACATACGTAGAGGAATTGCTGCCCGTAATTCAGGAGATCAAGTACTCCGGCATCGAATTGCCCCAGGTGCGGCAATCACAACTCGACCGCATCTCCGAAATTCTTAATGAGGGGTCGGAACTCTGTAGGAAGGTATTGGCTTCCAGTCGATGGCACGTCTACAAGAACTTGCAGCTGGCTAGGAAAATGGAGAAGTTCCAGAAGAAGGTGGAGAACTTCATTAAGGGTCCTATGCAGGCACATATATTAGCCGATGTCCACCATTTGAGGTTCGAGTCGGCTGAGAGGTTCGATCGCCTTGAAGGTCGGCTCGCCGCCATAAAGATAGGGGTGAGCGACGACCGGTGGTTGGAGGAAGCTGTGAAGAGGGTCGAAGAGGATGAGATGGATGTGGATGGTTCGGTGAATTTTGGAGCTGCGATGGTTTTGGGGAAGAAAAAGGTGAAGGATATGATTATCGGAAGGGATGATTTGAGGGTTGTTGAGATTTGGGGGATGGGAGGGAGTGGTAAGACGACTTTGGCGAGAGAGATTTGCAATGATGAACAAGTTCGAAGTAAGTTTTTCTAGTTCCGTTCTTTTCTTTCTAAAACGATTTTAGAGAATTCATCTGTTCTGGGTTTTCATTTTTCCCTCTTCTATATAGCCCTTTCGGATACTCAATAATTCTGTTGTATTTTTGGTTTCTAGATTAATTGTTTAGTTGAAGATTGGGTATGCTTGGCTTTGGGAAGCGTACACGCAATTGCAGAGAGCAAACATCTATTTATTTCATGAGGAGACCGAACTCCTTTTTTATTATTTCTAATCGTTCTCTGTAATCGTCATTGTGAATTGAACTGTTGAAACCTGAATATGTTGAACATCTTTTCTCATTTTTATTACTTTTATTGCTAGTTGATATGCCTATTTTCTTCTGGAAGCATTCTTTAGAGAAGTTTTCATTCTGTATCCACTAAGTGACCAGGATATGTCCAGTTGAATTGCATACTTGAAAAGACGAAATGCAACATGAGTATTTTCATGTTTGAAATTGGAATTAGTGCTTCAGAGAACCAGACTCAAAGTCTGTTGGTTGCCTTCTCAGGTCACTTCAACAATATGATATTCTTAACAGTCTCGCAGTCCCCAAATTTGGAGCAGTTGAAGCAGAAACTTTGGAAAGGTATTACAGGAAACCACACGTTTGGTTCTGGTGTTCCCGACGTTCCGATTCCACAAGTGAAAGCTCAATATAACTGGATAGTTACTGGAAGAAGCCTCGTGGTTCTGGATGATGTTTGGTGTCCTCATGTACTCGAACAGCTAGTACATCTAGTTTCTAGAATTCCTGGATGCAAAATCCTTGTGGTTTCAAGGTTCAAATTTACATCAGGGATTGATAGGATTTATGAACTTGAACTGCTTAAAGAAGATGAAGCCATGTCCCTGTTCTGTTATTCTGCTTTTGGACAAAAGGGCATCCCATTTGCTGTTAATGAGAAATTGGTAGAGCAGGTATAATTGAAAAAAGTCTCATATTTTATTTACATAATTCCATTTCATTTTTTCAGTAGGTGCTCAATTACATTTGTTTATTTTAAAATTTGGCTTTCTGGAAACTCTATTTATAGATGTTTGAATCTGAATTTAACAGATTGTGAAGGAGTGTAAAGGGCTTCCATTGGCTCTAAAAGTGATTGGGGCTTCACTAAGGGATCAACCGGAAATGTATTGGAAAAGTGTGAAGAACAGGCTATCTCGAAGTGAATCCATCTGTGAATCTTATGAGATGAAATTACTTGAACGAATGGCAATTAGCATAGAGTACCTTCCAGGAAAGGTTAGGGAGTGCTTCCTAGACTTGGGTTGCTTTCCTGAGGACAAAAAAATTCCTCTTGACATTCTTATTAATATTTGGGTCGAGATACATGACCTTGATGAGGAAGAAGCATTTGCCATACTTACTGAGCTTTCAAATAAAAATCTCCTGACTCTGGTGAAAGATGCAAGGTATGTAAATATGACTCTGTTCGCTCTAACACTTCAAACTAGAACTATCTATTTTACCTATATGCTGGCAAATAATGATAAGAAGTGAGTTAAATGGGTTATCTGTGTTGTTTCTGTTCTGGATTAGGACTGGAGACATTAGTAGTTCCTGTGAGATATCTATTACTCAGCATGATGTGTTGAGAGACTTGGCACTTCACTTGAGCAAAAAGGGGGTGCTTGAGAGCTTAAACAAAAGGAAGCGACTGATTATGCCAAGGAGAGAAGACAGGCTTCCAAAGGAATGGAGAAGGGGTGTGGATCAGCCGTTTGATGCCCAGATTGTCTCAATCCATACAGGTATGGCTGTTTTCTTTGATGAAATTCTATGCAGAAAAGCCCTTTCTTGAAAAAGCCTTAGGCTACTTTTGTTTTCAGTGTAAAGACGGACCGGTGTAAAACTCCATTCCCTGTCTGTATTTTCATGCATTTGGTTGGAGTGTAAGTTTTACATTGAAAATTGGTGTAAACCTCATGCACAGTTGAGTTTTACATCGGTAATCGATGTAAATACTACATCAGTCTACTTTTACATCGATTATCACACTTAAGAAATTTCCAATGGTTCACTCATTTTAAACCCATTGGCATTGAACTCCATCGATGTATGACAGTTTACACCAAAAACAAATGCAGCCTAATTGAGCAACACACAGACAACCAGAAGGGTGGTCAATTTTTACCAATGTACTTAGTATTTATAATCAGTTTTCTATGCTTAGTTTGATTAGAATTTTCTGTGTTAATATAGGTGAAATGAAAGAGCTGGACTGGTTCCATATGGACTTCCCAAAGGCTGAGGTTCTCATTCTGAACTTCTCTGCGAAGGAGTATTTCTTGCCTCCCTTTATTGAGAGGATGCCAGAGCTCCGAGCTTTAGTGTTAATAAACTATGATACTGTAAATGCTGTCCTTCATAATTCATCCATATTATCCTCTCTGGAAAATTTACAAAGCCTCTGGTTAGAAAAGGTTACTGTCCCTCAACTAAACAAAATAGCCTACCCTCTGCGTAACTTGCACAAAATCTCCCTGGTCCTCTGCAAGGTTAATGAAGGTCTTGATGGGGTAGATCTTCCTTCAGTATTCCCTCGGCTCTCTGAGCTCACCATGGACCATTGTATCGATCTAATTGAATTGCCATCAAGCCTATGTAATGTCTATTCACTCAAGAGTCTGAGTATCACCAATTGCCACAGCCTGCAAGAGCTTCCACTTGGGCTGGGAGGGCTGAAATCTCTGCGGGTTTTGAGGATATATGCTTGTCCAAGCTTAATGAAGCTTCCTCCAGGGATATGTGAGCTGGAAAGGTTGAGTTATCTTGACATCTCTCAGTGTGTAAACCTGGGGAGCCTCCCTGAAAGGATTGGTAGGTTAATTAGGTTGGAGAAGATTGACATGTGGGAGTGCGCGCAGATCATAAATCTACCCGGGTCTATTGGGTCACTGCGGTCTCTACGACGTGTCATCTGTGATGAAGAGATTGCTTGGTTGTGGAAAGGTGTCAAAACATTACCAGATCTTCGGGTTCAGGTGGCACAAGAATGCTTTACTCTGGACTGGCTTGCAGAGTAGGGAAAGAGATTACGTCCATTGCCACCTTGTGGTGGTCTTCATTGTACATAATTTTTTTCAAATAATGTAAAAATTGAAACAAAAAGGATTCCCAATATTCTGATGCCTTAGATCTCTAACATTTGTACAAGTGAGGTAGAACTTAGAACTGACAACTACTTTTCCATTTCAGTCCAGGTCACACAGACATGAAATGCACCCTCAAATTATCAGATGTCACCATGGAGATGATGACTTTCAGACTCGAACAAGAGGGAATCTAGTAGAGTAGAGAGAGCGGTTGGACATATTGGGACTCAACATATATCCCCACGCCACGCTAAGATCATAAATTCTGGATCATTGGATCTGTATGATCATTTGAGCACTCTGTGAACAAAAAACAAAGAAAAAATACAAATAACTTTTCACAGAGGAGGCAACACCATCCAACGCCATGGCTTCCAGCAAGGAACTCGGGTAAGTTAGTAAAACAAATATGGTCAATCCTTTGGATGAAACGTCTTAGTATCGTGAAAACAATACCATACTTTATAGGATTTTACCAATGCAACACCTTCATCCTTGCCTGCCTTTGCTGCCATTAGATTACCAGCTTCATTTAAAGGATGAGGTTGTCAAGTGGCCGCTTGCCGTCGTGAAAGCTCAGGTACAAACAACATCCACAAATATAGCCAATGTTACTATCACCGGCTCGTTGGAGAGCCCTTAGATCATTAATGTTTATGTGCTCATATACGAGGGCTTTCACATTGCTGCTTTTGGCTTTGCAAGATGAGGCAAGCCCACCTGGAAAGCCGATACGCAGTGTCTGGTAAAAGTCAGGAGAGCCCAAAGTGATTGATTATTGTTCAGTCATTTAGTTGACTCTCAGTTGAAGTTTCTTCTTATGACTTTTTTAAAGAAGCTCAGCTCAAGTAAAGCAACTCAACCAAACATTCAGCCCTCCGAAACGAGGCAAAAAATTAGAGCAGACTATTAATTAGTATGACCCCTATGTCAGCAAGTGCCTCTTTCTCAATTCTCATTCTATGTTTTTTTTTTTTTTNTTTAGAGGAACACTTGCAAGCCACATGCCAACCGCAATCCTCGGCGGAAGGAGTGTTGCCAAATGTCAACATCTCTTGGCTCCTGAAAGAAAAATTCTCATCCCCATACTTTTCTACCTTGGAGGGTAAGGGTAGAGGAAAAGACAAGAGAATTGCATCTAAGAGACAAGGATGTTACTTTCTTTGTTATCAAAATTCAAAAAGAAATAACAAGAGAACATCTGGAAATATTCACAGGAATCTGGTGGGAACAAATTCATGTATCCTCAGCGGAAGATTGTAAAATTCTTCATTTCTCATATCTCCTTTCCTCATCTGGAAGGGTACCCACCAAGGCAGTCCTCTGTCATCTGCTGTGCGCATGGCATCTAGCGTGTTATCAAGCAGCGTTCCGACTAACATGGCCACGGTTGGAGCTGACGTGAATATTGAATTCCATATGTCATTGAACTGCAAGCATGTTCCCAAAGGGATGGATTACTTTCAGATACCCAATTTATACAGATGCTAAAAGTCTAGCAATGCCAATTTATGTGTGTTGATGAGGATTGGAATTTACAAAAAAAAAGAAGAAAAAGAAAGAAAAAGCACTTCAAATCCCAATTTAAATAAATGCCCTTTTGATTGTTGCAATCTAAAAAATTGCACCTTTTCCCTGATGAAAATCAGGGTGCCGCCGGGAGCATCACAGTGTTTCAAAATGATGCAAATCTGGCTATGGAACAAACATCTCTGATGACTATATTACTCACCCATCCACCACTTGTTTTAACTGGTCCATGGCCTGCCGAAGAAGAGTATTCAATAAAATATCGAGGAATGGAAATTCCCAGGAACAGAGAGAGGCCCAATATGTAGAGGTTTCTCATTGAATTATTGTTTGTAAACTGAATAAAGGATATCCCAACAGCAGCTGCAAGAGGAAAAAAAAAAAAGTTCATATAATAGAACGAGGATCAGAACTATGATATTGATGGAAGTGATTATTCTTCATCTATGGAATACCAAAATGATTTTTTTTTCAATTATATATTATTATTTTCACAAATGGCAGTATTGCTGCTTAACATACAAATTGTCTGATTTTTGGGCTGTAAACTCACCAATTAGTCCAAATAGAACACAATATATGGCAGAAAATATAGGGAAAGGTATCGATGCAAAGAAAGCTCCAAACTTCCCTGACAAAGAAAAATGAAGTATACTTTAATCAAAAGATTCGAAAATATCTAACTGTTCTAATTTCTTGGAAGTCAGAACAAACCAAATATAGAGAAGAAGATCATGAAAGCAGTTGATATCTGCACCACTCTTCGGCTTCCCACATGGGTCAGTCCAAGAAGGCCAACATTTTCACTGCAAGGGAAATTAATTCTATCAGTGGAAGTCGATGATTTAAACTTTACATTATCTGTTGATGATTCCATTCAGAGAAGGCAAAAAAATCTAAGAATATTGCTTTCTTTATCCCTTTTAAATGGTCAACTAGAGAGCTAGGAAGGACACTAGTAACTAGTTATCTTTCTCTTGGGAAATGAAAGAAAGATATTCACTCACATGCCTATAAACTAGGGAAGAAAACTAAATTCATTTATGCTTGGTTGCAACAGTTACAAAGTAATAATAATACAATCTCCATGTGCTTCTAGTCGTCTAAAAAACATTTTTCACTGTCTTCACTTTTTATCAGTTCCGGATTACTATTTGCCAGAGAAGATTAGTCAAGCTTGAGCAGTCACATAAAGCAGACTGGATATACTAATTATAGGCTTATGTATGTCCTTACACAGATGCAGTAGTACCAACAGCAGCTCCAAATATCCCATCAAGCAGCATGCCAATACCCTGCAGTCACAAAGAAATAAGGCTTGTGTAAGGAGAAGCATGTTATTTTCTATTTATCTGAACAAAACCTTCTAAAATTAGTGCATACATTATTATTTGATTACTTACTAAGAAACATGAAGGTTTCGGATGTCTGACTCATGAATTAATACACATGGGGTTTCTCTTCCATTTTCAGACAAGAATTAATTCATCAAACAAATATCATGTGTCTAAAATGTCCTTCATTTGATCTCATAAGAAAATATTATCTTTGTTATCCAAAACGCTAGTATCTAGACTACCAGTCAAGTCTTCATCAGACCCAGGACAAGACATCCTTAAATAATTTCCTTGTGAATACATGCATACTGAATGTCTACCAACGGTCTTGTACAGATGGGTGTGCTCCAGCCATTAGTTCTGTTTAAACAATTTTAAATCCATACAGTGTACACCTATATAAAGAATGAAAAGGTCAGTTCACTACTATAGGTCTCATGCAGGACAAACTCTGATGTTTGTCACTTGTCAGACACTTGAATTGTGAATTCCTTCTCAGATATGACACATAACAACAATCCCTCACTTTTGGGAACAAATAAAAAGAAAATAAAAAATTCAAAGAGGAAAATTAAAACAAATCAAAGAATCTCTTTATCCAGCAACAAACCTGCAGACCAATGCTTCGACTAAGTACGTGTGCAGGAGGAGGAGTAGCACCCGCAAGCCGTGCAGCTGCAAAATATGTTCCAGTTGACTGCATTTGAGATGATTAAGGTGAGTATAAAAGTTTTTTACACAACATATATTCTTAATCTAAAATTAGCTAAAAATGATATTTGAGTACTGAGAATAAACCTCAGGAATGAAAACAGAGCTTACCTCAGATGATGAAACAAAAGCTGCCCCCATCATGCCAAAGACATGGCTTGCTCGAAAGATGGGTGCACCCCACTGAAAAGGATATGGAATTCTAATCCTGTAATCAAGGGAACAAAAGTAACAGCCTAAAATTAAAAGCCAACTCCTCTAATAGGTAAAACAGAGAATAATAGAAGCAAGTTGAACACTTAAACTGGAGGATACCAGGGAGCTGATGATATTAGATATGAACGATCAGTGCGGCAATTAATCTTAGTCTGCTCCCGGACATCAGTATAAGCACCACTTACAGTGAGTATAGCAGCAAAAGCCCATACTATTGCGATACAGAAAAGCAAGGCAAACCTCTCAAATACAGCATGTGCACTCTTGTTGATGCGTTTCAAATACTGCAGCAATATTAGAGTTTTGCGTTCAATCTTTTATTAAATAGTTTCTAGAAGAGAATGTTCATAAAATATACGACAAATCTGCTAAGACGCATTACTTGTTGGCAGATGACCAGTAGAATTAGCATTGGCAGACCAATCTCCATACAGTGTCCAACCTGAAGAGGTCAATCAAAGTCTTACTAGCTAACAAGTTTACCTACATAGTTTTTGGCAACCTGGCAACGAAGTTTATGAGAGAAATAAATACCTGTGGGAAGCCCCTCTCAAACAGACCAAGACCCACCACACAGACCACTGGAACAACAACAACAGGACTGAAGAACCTGCAAACGAACCAAATACATGGTAAGAAACAATACAAGTCCTAATTTCAGGTCTTGACCTTAGTCAGAAGAAGAAAACATGTTTATCTTCATCATCAAGAACATAATTCTCTACCTTGTGAAATTTCCCCATGCCTTACTATACCCAATCAAGATGTTGAAAAATGAAGAGATTATCAGAGATCCTTGAATAGTTCTCATGGTATGAGTGAATCTCTGCATGCATCATAAGAATGCATAAGTAAAATTTCTTTCTAGTTGTCCCAAGCAAAGACATCAGTGAATTATGAGAACTATGAATCATAGCCCCTTATCTGTGGCCATACTCATAACTTTGCAAGTTAATGTTTTGCACAGATTGAAGCAGAAAATTGCATTGGTAGAACAGAATTCAGTGCTTATGGTTTTACGAGTCGTATGCACTCAAACATGTAGGAGATAGAATTGAAGGTCAAGGTAGAAATTTCATTATCTTTAATAGAATTTCTGTTATCTATTCTCCACAAAAAAAAAAAAAAAAAGAATTGAAGGTCAAGGTAGTGGGACATTACTTATGTGATTTCAAAGGTTATTACTTATAGTATGTATTCTCCACAAATAGCTAAAGCCAACATGCAGATACATATGTGATTTCAAAGGTTATTACTTATAGTATATTTCCATTGAATATACCCAGCTGCGATCATTAAAGTCAAGAGTACATTCAGTCATGAAGTGCCTTGATCCAACTCTTCTACTTATATTCTGCATACCTCATGCTCATTCTGGAAGGTACTATCGTTGAAATCATTGATGATCGACATCACTGGTATGACAAAAGAATAAGATGCACCCATCACTGTAGGAAGTCTTGTCCCAAGAAATGTCTGAAGAAGTGTATTTACTCCTCCCATAAACAACAAAGTCTGAATCACATGGGCTTTATCACCCTGATTTATAATTTCATCAGAATTAGAATTAGTTTTCAGTTTCTGCGTCTGAATAGAGCAACCTGACTGTCAATAATCGAATTATATGCCAGATGAGGAAACCTACATGACTACCGCCCATTTGAGGTACAAGGAAAGAAGCAATCATGACAGTTGTTCCAAGCATCACGATGTAGTGTTGGAAAGCCAGGAGAAATGATTCAGCTGTAAAGTTTGATCCAGTAAAGACAATAAGTTCAGGAAGAGCCAGAAACCATCAAATAACTAATAAATAAATAATGAGAGAAAATTCTGGTAACAGAAGAACCTAGTTAAAAAAAGATAGTAGAAGATAATTTCTGCACATCATCATCCCACACGCGGAGTTCTAACAGACACAAGTAATAGAGAAACGAAAAAAGAGAATTGAAATAATAGCAAGAGTATCAGAAGGTATAGCAAAAGGAGGAACAAAAGAGCATGGGATGGACTGTAGAGAACTCCAAAACTAGAATAGCGTGATGCTGGAGCATTAGTCAATCAGAAAAGGAAACCCAAGTTGCAGAAAATCCAAATAAGAAGTATAAAACATCAAAAGAAGCATAGAACAGCCACTGACATGAAAAGTCCCAAGAAAGATTTGATGGCAGTGGTTGGTGCAGTGCAGAAGTACTAACCAAAGTCCAAAAGCAGAACTAAGCAAAATACTACAAAAGGAGGGAAAGAAAGATAACATAGAAGAAAAATAAAGAACTCACGCCATGAAGGATTGGAGTGGATGCAGAAGTCGAGTTGATGAAGCTGTTCCTGTGGAGGAAAAGTTGAAGCTCTCGGTGCTGACAGTGACGATGGTGGCGGAACCACTGGTGGTGGTACAACTGGCTGAGATTGGTTTGTCTCTACCATTGTTTTGATGATCTTGTGCTTCTGAAACTACCTTCTCCTTCTTGTTCAGAAACAACGATAAGATAAACGAGATCAAAAGTAGTAGAGTGGGGGAATCTTCATCACTAAGAAATATAAATATATCGAATATTCAAGCATTCATTAATCCAAAGAAAATATGAGAAAAAGAAGCTTTTCAAAAAATAAAAAATAAAAAGGGAGACAAAGACAGGAGAGAGAGAAATTAGGACTAATTAAGGAGTTAGACTTGAATAACGTTATGGTTGTCCATACTCTATACCCTGGATCAAGAGACCAAAAGGGATATAAAAAATGGAAGAAAAATTTAGTATGGGCAAAGCGCGTTTGGTTCATATCCCCACTGACTTCTAGGAAGTTACAGACGTTAGAAGCATTTGATTTCAAAAAAGTCTAGATTTTCCCGTGAATCACGATAATGCCATGATATTATCATTTGGATGGAACCAAGTGAAGCTACCAGCTACAGTGGCAGTGGCTGCAGATCAACCAATATGTGGATGGTAAGCAAAGCGCGCGTGTTACATATATTGCTTTGTCAATTTCCCTTGAAACCCAACTCTGAGGTCCGGACGATTTGATGCTGTCAAGAATTTTTTGTCACTTCAACGACATGTATCTTCTCCAAACTTCATGAAGTTTCTTCTTCATTATGTTTTGGAGGTTAATCTATCGCAGTACAGAAGTATCGCAGTAGCTGAATGCAAGGATTGGATAGCGGCCCCTGGAACCAATGATAATGTCTTACGTCAATCATAAACTTGTAATTTGGATCAGCTAACGCATACTCAATCAGTGCCCTCAGTTTCACAGCCCACTACAAAACCAGTGGCGTCTCGTAGTTTTTAAGATCGAAAGGGTTAATAATTTTGGCAATCGCTGGGTCCCAATGGGGATTGGGGGAGGAAGGTGTTGCCAATATTAAAATATTCAGGCCCGGCGCGTCAAGGCTTAAAGCTTGTATCGGACCCAAGCTCGTCAGAGGTCAGCTTCAGGCGATCTTGTAGATTTATATCATTTCATTTATTCCGAGAGAGTTGGTATATGGGGAATTAATTCTTTACCTAATAGTCTTTTAAAGTCAGAACTAGATCTTCTAGTTTATAGTCCCACTGCCTCCGTGCCACGCGCATCCACACCGGATAGATTGAGATGGATGATCTCTGGATTGAGGAAGAATCATGTTGCTTCTATTCTTTCTCTCCTCCCTGCACGTAGCCAAGTGGCTAATTGTATATTACGAATACTTTTTTGTGCATCAAAGTGATCGAACCTTTCATATTCCATTGACCTATTGACCAATAGACTCCGGCTGTGGTTGTAATTTGCAAAGCTCCTTTAATTGCTACGTGCAGGGTGACCAGTCACGTGGACGTGGACCCCAGCTGGTTTCATGAAGATTCCGGGCCCACCCACAGCCACAGGGGACGCCTCGCCTCGTTCTGCATAGTGCAAATCCTCCCGATAAGTATTTAATAGAGACGTGTCTTGTACAAACGAGAAGGGCGGCACCGACATGGGCCCCCCGATGGCCGGGGGCCGGGGCTCCCTCGTTTCAACTTTCAAGGAAGGTCGTGCTGCTTCCCTTGAGAGTTGAGACGGCACCGACTAGATCTAGATGGAGAAAGTGGAACCTTGTGAAACTTCATCTACAATTTCTGTTGTCATAATAACATCGGCTTACTGTAACTAAATCCTCAATCAACCCATGTGTGTGTGTGTGACTGTGACTGAGACTGAGAGGGGAGAGAGAGAGAGAGAGAGAGAGAGTTGTTAATTCTTTGTGTGCATGTGCATGTAATACTTACTATCTTATATATATATATAAGCGTTTGTTTGCATAGTACTTTATATGGAGTACAAAAAGAAGACAGTATAGCATTAGAATATTAGATTAGAGACCCAACTCCATCCACGTTCGATTTATCTAACATCTATTAAAATCTAGTTTGGCCCATAACTTAAGCACCTTGCAAGGGATTGAGCACATGCCCGATGAATTCCACCACTCCAGTCATGTCTTCTCTGATCAAGAACATGAATGGATGGTCGGCTACAAAGTCTATGTCCCTAGTAATAAGCAGACTCCTAACACTTATCACGCCAGCAGAGGCAGAGCCAGCTTCAGTCCCTTCTTCGTTGACCTCGATGAAGGATTTATGATAAATGCTAGACACGTATAAGTCCTTTCCTGTGGATGACTCCACCATCTCGGTCAGATCCCCTTCACTAGAGAAAGGCAACACCAATCCTAACCCCATCAGAACCCTCGAAACTTCAAAACCAAATGAAATCTTGAACTTCGGGATCCTGAACTCCCCCACTCCCACTTTTTCGAATGGGAGGTAGCGATCTAAAAACCCGGGGTCTGACCCCACTTTCTCGACCAAAGCTGGAAGCCCGTCCTTTGCATCAGGTAGAAATATGTACATGGTGAAACGCCTCTTGTCTTCTCCTTGTTTATAAGGAAGCCCAAGCACTTTGAAATCACCATGGGCACTGATGAATTGCTTCTCCTTGCTGGTCATGAAGGGCGCCTGAGTTGAACTTCCATTGAGAAGGTGAAAGTCATAGTTTTTGGTCTTTGATGCATCAAATTTTTCACTCCAGGCTCCCTTGAAGTAAAGGGCATTTGCAAAGACGAGTCTAGTTGAGTTGTCAACTGATCCTGCTGGAAGGACCTCATTGATGAGCCCACTGGTCGCCTTTTCAGCCCATGAGTTGACTTCATTAGCCACTTCAACTGCCTTCACCATTATTACCATCAACAGCATAGTCAGTAACATCATCATCACATCCCTCACATAAATACAAGATCATACAGAGCGTGGAATGTTTTCATGCTCATTAGAAAGAACTTAGCATACAGGTACCGGATGTCTTTAAGCACAAACCAGTGTTCACATGCCTATGCAGGACTACTACCGATTCTAGCAGTATCTATGCACAGATATCTGTATTCAAGTATAATTAACTATTATTTCATATCATAATATCAAAAATGCATCCAGTATAAGTTATATGAATAAAGAATTATCATCTGGCAAGTGTGTTCAACAGATCAAGTCTGGGTGGGTGGGTGAGTGGGTCAGAGAGAGAAGGATGGAGGTGATTACAGAATCTTATTGAAAATACTTGTAGTACTCATTCACACCGTTTATGCCTGGAATTTCTAGACTTTCCTGAAATAGGCCTATAATTAGATGACTACCATGGATAAATAAAATGTAAAACTGAAGATATTGAGTTCGAATAGCCACAGTTATAGGACTGGTTTAAGAAATCTGAACTAGGAGGTCACGAGTTTCTAAGTGTATTTTCAATGCATTAAACAATAGGAGACTTTTATGGTTGACAAGATTTTCAGTCATGCCATATCAGATGGTGATAATGAGAATGTGGGATACAAGAAGGCCCATACCTGATTCATAGGGCAGCTATTAAAATTTCAACCCAAATTAGTTAAAGTTTTTTTTTTTTTTTGATGAATCCAAATTAGTTAGAGTTTCAGAGTTTTATTCTTCTCTTTTGCCCTTTTTTTGTATAGATATAAAGCTTAGAGTATGCCCCAGTGCTTTGACTTTAGTTCAAAAACTTATTTGATTTATTACTCAAAGACCTTGCATTATATGTACTTGGAAGAGTTATGCCAAAATATGATGCAAATCAGGGTAATATAATTGGGAATTCTATCCTTCTGATTTTTTGAAATCCAAAACAAACGGATAGAAAAGCTTGGGGTGAATCATTTTATGCCTTTATAGCACAAAAGCAGTCTTTTGAATACCCTACAAAGCAATGATATCTAAAAAAGCATGTTGTTTTTTTTACAAATCGCATAAAATTCTTTTATTTTAAAGTACTCTTCCCACACTTGATTTGCATCAAATGGTGCAATACACCACTTGACTTGATATTATCATGGTTTAGTTTCTTGTTCTTTTTGCTGTTTAAGATGGAAGTCCTTAAATCTTGAAATTCTCTTTCATATTCTACTTCTGAATCTTGACTTGTCAAATTCTTGAAATCATAACTAGATTATTTCTGTTAAAAGAATTTTACTATTCAGCATGAAAGTCTCTAGTTTCTTAACCTCAAATCAATCTTCATTGCAATATTTTTGAATTTAGTACTTCCAATAGAAAGTAAATCAGTATTATTTCCCACAACCATACAGCTACAAACCCTGTTCAAGACCTAGATCTAGTTGACTCTATCAATACCTTACCTAATTCTTTTTCCTCCTTTAACCTTTCTGATTTACTTACTGGTAGATACATAGCCCTCCAAGTATTCACCCTATACTTTTTTTTTTTTTTTGCCTTTTGGAATTCCATAGAACATTCAAGTTGCTGCCACTTAATTGAAAAACCGGGTATACCAGGGAGCGGAGAAGTGATTCCTGTAGAGTAGCCCACCTTTTGGATGAAGCCAGAGACATCCTAGCAGCCAATCATTACATTCTAAGATAGGTTGGTGGATGAGTTAGCAAAAGCAGGTAAGCTAGGACTTTTTTTTATCAGCTTGCATAGGAATCCTTTTGTTTTTGGTCATTAACAAAGATTTCAATAAATAGATGAAGAGAAAAAATTACTAATACAGCATCCAGGAGAAGGGGTAAACTCTCTTAGCCCTCCTCAAGGACAGCGAAAGTACAAACAAAAATTACAAGCAAGCCCACAAAGATTGAGCCTTTCCTACCCCCTGTTTAGCTAAAGCATCAGCAAAGGAGTTGGCACTTCTTTTAACCCACTGAAGCCTTACTACCATACCCCTTGACAACCACTTGAACTTCTTTCTTTCATTTGCATATTCCCAAAGCCTTACTACCCACTGAAGTCTTGCATAGGATTTTTTTTATAGCAACAATACTTTACCCAACGAATTTTTGTGAAGTGGGTTCTGTTGTTTCATGCACATCCCCCCTTGTATATTTTGCCTCTGTTTTCTAATGAATACAGTTACTTTCTTCAATAATAAAAAATAAAAAAAAAAAAAGTTTTGTTCCAACTCCTAGTAGCTGGCATGTGAGGCTTTAACGTATCACACCCGACTCCTAGTGGGTAGTCCTTCATATCCCTTTCTTTTACAGCTTTTAAGGCAGAGTTTTCACCACTTTTTATCACTTGCATAAGATCTGCTGTGCTCCAGTCTGAAGCCTTGTCCTCCACACTTTTGACCTTCCTTCCAACCCAGTCCCTGTCTTCCTTCAGGAAAGCATACTAGCTGCTTCCTACCCTTCCCAAAAAATTCACATAAAGCTAGATAGCCTCCTTTGTTGCTCCTGCATTCTAGAACATATCTCTTCCCTTCTTCAGTATTCATTTCCATCCAGTTTCTTATCCCTTTGGAACTTGCTCCCTTCACAAAGTCCCTAAATTGATCACTTCTATACCTTGCAACAGCACTGATTATAGGAAAACAAACACCTTAGATATTCTTCAAAAGAGAAGACTTTTCCTTTGTATCTCACCTAACTGGTGTATCCTTTGCAGATCTCATGGCGAGGATTGTTACCATGTACTAATATCTTGTTCCTTTATTGCAGAGTTATGGGAGGCTCTTCTTGATGTTTGGGTGTAGGTGGAATAGGCCAGTAGAAGTAAGCTTCCTTTTTGACCATTTTACCTTCCCATGGTGTCAAAAAAGAGAAAGAATCATGTGGAGGTGTGCTAGAGCTGTGCTGATATGGACAGTGTGGGAAGAAAGAAATGCTACCTTCCAGGAGGAGAGGGAAATACAAGAATTGAAGGAGTGCATTCTGCATAGGGTCAAGTAGAGGTGTAAATCGGGCCATGCCAGGTCCGGCATGACCGTGTGGGCCAAGGGTTCGGAGTCCACGGGCCGGCACGGCACAACACGATTGCACGTGTCGTGTCGCCCGTGGGCCTGTACGCAGCCCGCTCGAGAACTAGCCATTGGGGACCCCCCCATTGATGAAAAATGGCTTTTAAATAAAAGAATTTTAAGTTTTACTAGGCTTGAATGGCCACACACTGGCCCAGCTATTGCTGCAAGCATTTTAAATACTTTACATGCTTATGGAAATGAGAATAAATTATTTTCTATTAGTTTTGATAATGCTAGTAATAATGATTCTGCAATAAATATTTTAAAATCTCAATTAAAACCATGTTTAAATGGTAAATTATTTCATATCAGATGTGCATGTCACATCTTAAATTTATGTATTCAGGATGCTTTAAATATTATTTCTACTCATATTTCTAAAATTAGAAATTGTATTATATATATTAAAAGTTCTAGAGCAAGAAAACAAGTATTTAAATATTTATGTCAAAATTATAATGCAAAAATGCCTAATGATATTATATTTGAGGAAGACTGGGAAATGGCAAATTGGCAATTTGTATAAGAGATTTTTTTAAACATTTTTATGATGCAAGTAATGAATTATCGGGTATTTATATTCCAACTAGTTGTAATTTACCTTATCAATTAATGGTGATTAGTGATTGTTTTGCAAAATATAGAAATAACTCACAATTTAAATATATTGTTGAAATAATGGAAAATAAATTTAAAAAATATTGGGAGAACATTTCTCCTCTTTATTGCTTAGCTACAATATTAGATCATAGAATTAGGAAAGATGGTTTAGATATTTTACTTGGAACATATTGTGAAAATATGAATATTGAAATTGAAAATAAAAAAAGAAGAAATTAATAAGTTATTATTTGAAATGTACACTTTATATGGATTTGAAGTAACATGAAATAATTCTACAAGTTGTACAGTTGCATATTCTACTTCTGAATCTGAACATGAACCCAGTAGTAGTAGACAAAAACTTTTTTATTTAATAAGTAGGAGGCAGAAATTTTCTACCTCAACAACAAGTTCATTTACTAAACTTCATTTTTATTTACAAGCAAATTTTTCTTCTTTAGGTGAGGCAACAAATAATTTTGATATTTTAGCTTGGTGGAGTGAACATTCAAAAAATTATCCAATTCTTGCCGCTATGGCACGTGATCTACTAACCCCTCCGGTGTTTACAGTTCCATCAAAGTCTTGTTTTAGCGCAAGTACTAGGGTATTGGGCGACGAGAAGTTGTATGAATGATATAGAGATGTGCATTTGCTTTAATGATTGGCTGGATGCTGAAGACAGATTACAAGAAAAATGAGGGCACGACACTACACCCGATATTTCACGTGAAGAAGATGATGAAAGTCATGACTCATGAACAATAGTTGTATAGCATTTTTTCAAATTATTGTAAATTCTGTTTTAATTTTATTTAAATGAAATGAAATAAAATTCCTATTTTTTATTCATTCAAATTTGTTATGATTCATGATTCATTCAAATTTAAATGGAATAAAATTCCTATTTTTCTTCCAATTTGTTATTCCATTCTTATTTGGTTAAGTATTTTATTCATTTATTTGTTAGATTTCTCATTTCTTATTTTTTTCAAATAGTTCCTAAAACCCAAAGAAAAGTTAAATATTTTAGTTTTACACTTTTACTTAGCAAAGAAATAAATAAATAAATAAATAAACAAACAAAAACACAAAAAATGGTAAAAAATCAGTTTGGCTTGGTTCGGCCCACGCCCAAGGCTCGGCCTATGACATGGCCCAGGCCCGGCACAGTCTAGGCCCACACGGGCTGTGGGCCATGCTGGACCGATCCCCCAAGTTATCCCTGGGGAGGGCAGCAAGGCCCGTGCCAGCCCGCGGACCGTGCCATGCCGGCTCAGCATGGCCTAATTTACACCTCTAATAGGGTGACATGGTGACTAAAGTTCCTGGATTCATTTCACCAATTCTCCATTAATGATATATGGAGGAATTGGTCAAAAGTAGCAAGCTGCTCCACTTTAAAAACTAGAATCAGTATGAGTTGGGAACACCCTCTTGCCGGTTTTTTGAAGCTGAATTTTGATGGTAACAGTCAAGGTAATTCAAACCCCTCCGGAATGGGAGGGGTGCTGAGGAATGAATTTGGAAATATGGTCCTCCTTTACTCGGGTCTCCTAGGGATTGGGAACTTTACTAGGGCAGAATTACTAGCTGCCATCTAGGGTGTACAGCTTGCAGTTAGCTAGGTGTGCAATAACTACTAATCGAAGGGGATTCCAAGGTGGTAGTGGGCTGGCTGCGGAACCCCGAGTCTATTGTGTGGAGCTTTAAGAGTGAAAGTAGAAAATTTAAGTGGTTGATAAGGAGCTCAGCTGTAAGTATTAAATGGGTGGGGAGATCAGAAAATTCTTTGGCTGACTGTCTAGCAAAGCAAGGAGGAAACAGGGAACAATTGTATTGGGCTTATTTGTAGATTGAATTTGCTTTTCTGTTTGAACTTACTTAGAAACACTGCAATTCTTCTCATTTCCAAGGGGTACCTTTTTTTTTGACAAATAACTGAAGCTTTTCCACTAAACCAGAAAAACCCAACTGCTCACCAAGGTGAGCAGAGGCCGAAGAGTACAAAGCCCCTATCCTCTAGGAGCTCAGAGCAGCAGGAATAGGAAACAAAAATAGATTACATATTACTTATCCTCTGCATCCAAGCATAGTTTTGCTTCTCAAAATCCCTAAATCTCTAAGTAACCTCATTTGAACTCCTAAATCCATGGAAAGACCTGTTCTTTCTCTCAAGAAAACCTAATTATCAAATCTAAGACCTGATGATTTACTGTCCTACAGTCCCCAGACTTGTATATAAAGTTTGAAAATATATAGTTTCCAAAACCTTTATACCTTGCAGACTGCATTCTTTGAATTTCATATTCATAGTTCCATAACAATACCCCTGAACAGTATTATCCTCCAGCCTCTAAGATTCTTTGTGCGCCTCCTTTAGAAACTAACATACCTGATATTCCCCTGGATAAATTTAGTCCCTGTAGCAGAGTTAGCTCTCTGCTCTTGCATGAAAGTTTATGGGCTCGTTCTTGATTTCACTTTTCTATGCGGGAGGTTTGACTTCCTTTGAATCGTACCGGAAAGAGCAACTTCCAGTACCGGTTCAAAGATTTGCTCCTCAGAGAAAGAACGGGAGAGTATCCTTCCTTATACAAGATAGGTCATTAATCAATTCTTCAACAACTAACCCCAATGCTAAATCACTTATACAAGATAAATTCAATAAACATCTTAATATCTAACTCGAAAACTTTGGACATTAAAATTACTATAGCCTCTCAACAATTCCTTTTCAGAAGTTTTTATTCCACCACGAAATCCCCAAGTAATCGACAAGATAAAAAGGACACAGATTATCAGAGCCCACATGACGATTTTGTAGCAGGAACAATGAACGACACACACACACACACACAAAAAAGGCAAATAACCCACTGCTTTGAACCCACGCAATTCTAATTCGTAACTAACTAACTTCCTTCCTTGCAAGCAGACTCGTATAGATTGCAACGGCACTGTCAAAATGAACTACTACACCATCTTCGACAACTTCTTAATTAAAAATTGAAACTTGAAGGGCACACTTTTGAAGCGAGTAAGAAAGGAAAAGACTAACCTTTGATTGGAAATCTACTTGCTTCGCTGTTGCCTTGTAAACGGTATCGACGATCCCCTTGAAAGAGGGTTTGAGAGGGAGAGATTTTTCTGTCCAGACACCATTGGCGAATGACAAAAGAGGCCCTCCACTCTGGCTGCCGTCAGCTAATATAAGAGAGACAAGCTGAGAAGCAAATGAGTTGAGATCGTTATTACTTTTCGATCTCAGGAACGAAAGCATCTGGTCTAGGGTTGGACCCTTGGATCCAGCAGCGATGAGGCTCAGGACGATATGGATTGACAAAGGAGAGAAGACAAGGTTCGAGTTCTTCCCTTCCTTCAACAATACGTTCTTCGCGATTTCTAGAGAGAAAGTAGTTTGGTTGCTTATCGACTCTCGAAGATCCATTTCTTCCCTTCCTGTAAAAAGCTCGAATTGTTGAAAAAAAAAAAGACTGAAGCGGAGTTGATTTTAAAGCGCAGGTCGGACAGAGTTTTTGATAATAGATAGTCGGACAGGGCAACGCAACATCGCTGACTTTAGGTGGTGTTCTCTGATCAAAGAACAGATGTCTTCTCTGATCAATGAACATATGCTTTTTACTTTTCTCCTGTCGTGTGGATCGACCTGCTGCATTCGAGATTTGCGTACGTAGCAAGCAGTCGCGGACCATCTCAATCCGTCTTTTTTTTGTTTAAATTTTATGTTTCTCCTGTCATTTTTTAAAAGGGAAATTGTCCAAAACTCATATTTCTCTTAAACTCATTTTAACTTTTGAAAATGTAAATTCACCACGTCAGTCAGTTTTTATTTTTCAAAACTTACCTTGAACCGTTAATATTCAGAAGTTGTTCACATCAGCATAAATATAATTTTCATGACTAAATTGCCCCTGATTAGAGAATTAGAAAAAAAAAAGACTCATTTAAGGTTTTTCTCTCATTTTGCCGATCTTCACTCTTTCTCTGCCACTTAGAACTTCCAGTCATCAACTGTCTCTCTTTCTCTTCACTCTCAACCCAAAAAAGGGTTTCGTTTCTTTTGGATTCTTTTTGCTTTGCTTCGCAAATCAGCAGAGCATAATAGAAATGAAGGATTTTTCTTATTTCTTCTTTTATTTATATATATTTGTTGTTTCTTTAGGAATTGTAATATATTGGATGTGATTTAGATCTTGATTTTGGAGGAGATTAGATTGCTTTCTTCTTCAAATTTTTGGGTTGTGAATAAAAAAAATTATTCACTGTTCTGTTATGACTTCTAAGTGGCCCGGCTTGGTTAAAGTGAGGTCTTGAAGAGACAACAGAACCCCAGTCCCCAGGAAATCCAATCCAATCCAAAACCCTCCTCAGAAATCAGAATAAAATAAAGAGAAAATCAACCTAATGAATAGAAGAAATCAAGCTTCAGTGGCAGAAGACTCTGAAGGAGAAAAGAAGGAAGAGGAATAAGGGCAAATTAGCTCCTCATCAAATGAAGAACATGGGCATGCCTGTTGGTGTTAGTGTACACTCTTCTTCTGTCTTCATCATGGAACCTCCTTCATTATGTCTTGGTACAATTCCAACGTCTCTTCCACTTCTTCTAATGGAGCTGGAGCTACTGGGTGGCCGGCTCTTTACACCTAGGTGCTCTTCAATGCTGTGTTCGGTTTGCTTTCTATGGTGGTAGCGTTGGCCGTTGTCGTCCCTGCAACCGTGGTGACATGGATTACTGTGCTAGCACTCCTCACTTCCTGTGGTAAGCCTCGCCGGTCTCTGGTGCTAGAAGGGAGGAAGATCACAGCAAATATTATGGGGTTTGCCATCAAAGTTGTGATCAGGGAAGGGAATATCGAGGAAGATCATGACAGATATTATGGGGTTTGCCATTAAAGTTGTGATCAGGGAAGGGAATATCGTGGATGCCTAATTTACAAAATCAAGAGAAGTTTTTTTCTTAGAATGCTTAATGCTTTCATTTCTTAATGTAATTGGCCATTACTTATAATTTTGCTTGTTTGAAATAAAAAACCGTTACGTGACATTTGTTTTTTTCATTTTTGGAAAACAAAATCATACACCCCATGCGTATATATTTTAGGTAAATTATAATGACCCCCTTGTACTATGGGGTCAATGACAAAGTCCCCCTATACTTTTTTTTGCGACAAAGACCCCCTTTGTACTTTAGTCTAAACAGCTTCAATTGGGAGGAAAACATCAAGGCCATAATCATGGTGTGTGAAGTGAAACTCAAAAAGAAGGAAAACAATAGGTTAAATAGGTTTTAAGAGAAAAGGGGCAAGAAAAAGAAAATAGAAAAAGTTATAATTTAACGCTTTCCGTCATTTGTCTTAACGGCCAAGAGGGGTCTTTGTCTAATAGCTAAAGTTCAGGGGGTCTTTGTCGCAAAAAAAAAGTATAGGGGGGACTTTGTCATTGACCCCATAGTACAAGGGGGTCTTTGTAATTTACCCTATATTTTATATTTTTCTATGAAGGGTAAAATGGTAATATATTAATAACCGTTAGTCTGGTGAGTTTTGGACAATTTTCCTCTTTTAAACAACCAATGAGATACTTTCCTTTCCCATAAAAAATTACCTAAAATTTATCTATCTTTCCATACACATTTCCATTAACCTAAATAATCCCCTCTACTAAGTTTCACCTAGATTACCTCCCTCAATTTCTACTAAATTATCTCTAATTTAGAAGAGAGTTTCTCTCCAAAGTTATTTGTAATTCCTATTTATTCTCTCCCCCACTTTTTATCTATATTTATCTAAAGAAAGTTTGAATTAAAAATTTTAAGAAATTATTTAAATGTTCTAACAAAATTATATAATAACTTTAAAATATTTATTAAAAATAATTTAAATTTTATTTTGGATTATTCAGTTTAAGTGTTATTAAAATAAAAAATAACATTAAAAAAATAAAATATTTCAAAAACTAAATATCATAAATAAAAATATTAAAAATATCTAAATAATTATATAACAAAATATTTAATATTATGTAATAGCTTTAAAATAAATAAAATTCAAATAACAAAAATTTTAAATATTTTACATATTATTTAAATTTTTTACATAACAAAATATTTTAAATAATGAAATATTTAACATAACTAGATTTTAAATAGTTAAAATAACAAAATTGTGTAATAAACTTAGAAAACTTCTTAAAAGTAGAAAAATAATTATAACATAACAACAAAATTAATAATGAAATTATGTAATAATAGTATAAATTATAATTTTATGGTTTATTAAATACAATAAATAATTAATATTTTAAAATTTAAATAATGATACTATTTAAATAACTAAACAATATTACAAATAAATAATTTAACTTATATCAATTAATAAATCTAGAAAATTACTTTCAAAAAATAATATTTATTAATAATAAATTTAAAATCATAATCTATATTTATTATATAATTGTGTATACTAAAATTAATATTTATTGTATTTTAGTAATTATTTATTGTTTTTTGATAAATATATTTTCAATAATTATTTATAAATTTATTTTCTTGTTATTTAACAGAATTTTTTCAATAATTATTGGAGATTAAACTTCTACTATTTAACTTTTTGAATTTAATTTATTATATTTATTTTATTTTTGTATTAATTAATATTTATTAGAGATTAAACTATTATTTGAGATTATACTATTTATTGACTAATTTCATACATTTTTAGTATTTATTGTATTTTTGTAATTATTATATTTTTATTACTTATTTATTGTATTTTCATGATCAATATATTTTTAATAATTGTGTATTTTTTCTATAAATTTTTAATAATTATTGGAGATTAAACTACTAATATTTATTAGATATTAGCCTATTAATTTAGTTGAAATTAATAGTGTTCATGGGTTGCTTCGATTCGGTCATAGGTTGTTTGTCTTTGGCCAACCAAATCGACCTGGTCAAGTTGGGGAGTTGGTCACTTGAAACGGACTAACCATTTGTGAAAATTGGCCCACATGGGTTGTATCAATTTGAGTTGATTTTTTGTTTGGTCATTCAGCTCAAAAAATTTAAACTTAAAAAATTAAGTTTGTGATATAAAATATTTTAGACTAAGAATATGAAAACTTTTCCACTTTCCTATTTTAAAAAATTATATTTAAAAATATAAAATATTAATATATATCTATGGTTAGGTCGTTTAATTTTGGTTGGTTTACAAATGGCCAAAGCAAAATTGATCCAACCTGGTCGGGTTGGGAAATTATTGAACCAAAGCCAATTGGAAATACTAGAAAACAATTGTATACTCTTATATGTTTCTATTGTTTAGTTGTTGCTTAACAAATTATGTGCATCACACAGGTCCCCACTAGTTATTTTCATCTTCTTTTATGGCAAAAACTCTACCATAATTTGTTTTGCTTCTTTTAATGTAAAACTAGTGAGATATTAATTTCAGCTAGGGTTGTTCATCAACTTGATGAAATTAACCAACCTAATCAACTCGATCCGAGTTGGTCAGTTTTTTAGTATTTTTTATCGACTTTGGTTAAATAATTTTTCAACCCAACCAGGTTGGATCAGTTTCACTTTGGCCATTTGCAAATCAACCAAAACCACTACCTCACCATAGCTATATATTAATATTTTATATTTTATATATCATTTTTAATACAAGAAAGTGGGAAAATTCTAGATTTCCTATTCTAAAATGTTTTATGTCATAAATTTATTTTTTAATAATGTCGTTGTAATTTTTAAAATTCAAATTTAATTTTTACGTTTAAATCTTTTAAATTAACTAACCAAATAAATAATTGACCCAAACCGATACAAGCCAAGTGGGTCAGTTTTCACAAATGGTCAATCAGTTTCAAGTGACCAACTCCCTAACCTGACTTGGTCCATTTGGTTGGTCAAACAGCCTACAACTAAACCGAACTAACCCGAGAACACTCCTAATTTCAGCTAAATTAATAGTATAATCTCTAATAAAAAACAATAATTTAATCTCCAATAATTATTGAAAATTAATAGAGAAAATGCACAATTATTGAAAATATATTGATGATGAAAAATACAAAAAATACTAAAGAATATATTAAATTAGTCAATAAATAGTACAATATCAAATAATAGTTTAATATCTAATAAATATTAATCAATAAATTATAACAAAAATACAATAACTACAATAAATTAAATTTAAAAAGTTCAATAATAGTAGTTTAATAACCAATAATTATTGAAAACATATTTATCACAAAAAACAACAAATAGTTACTGAAATATAATAAATATTAATTTTAGTATATATAATTATATAATAAATATATATTAAGATTTTAAAATTATTATTAATAAATATTATTTTTTTGAAGGTTATTTTCTCAAATTATTAATTGATATAAGTGAAATTAGTCATTTACAATATTATTTATTTATTTAAAAAAAACCATTATTTATATTTTGAAATATTAATTATTTATTGAATTTAATAATCCAAAAAATTATAATTTATACTTTTTTACATAATTTAATTATTAAATTTGTAAAATATTAAATTATTATTAATTTCAATATTATGTTATTATTACTTTTCTACGTTTAGGAAATTTTTTAAACTAATTACATAATTCCGTTATTTAAACTATTTAAAATCTAGTTATGTTAAATATTTCATTATTTAAAACATTTAGTT